CGCCCCCAAACTCAATCCCAGCCTTTCCTTTGTGGTATGGTACCTTGCAGTACTATTTCAGAGAGATCCATACACTTGAACACAAGTTATTGTCTGGAAACTAGAAAAATGCTTTTTTTTTGGCCCCTTTTTGGCCTCAAATTCCTAAACGTTTAGGGCAATTACCCCCAAACTCAAACCCAGCTTTTCCTTTGTGATATGGAACCTTGTACATGTTGTAGTACAATTTCATAAAGATCCATACACTTACACACAGGTTATTGTCCTGAAACTAGAAAAATGCTTGTTTTTTGCCCCTAATTCCTAAAATTTTGAGGCAATTACCCCCAAAACAATCCCAGCCTTCCCTTTGTGGTATGGTACCTTGCAGTACAATTTCAGAGAGATCCATACACTTGAACACAAGTTATTGTCCTGAAACTAGAAAAATGCTTGTTTTTTCCCCCTAATTCCTAAAATTTGAGGCAATTACCCCCAAAATCAATCCGAGCATTCCCTTTGTGATATGGAACTTTGTGGTATAATGTCAGAGAGATCCATACACTAACACACAAGTTATGTCTGGAAGTTACAAAAATGCTTATTTTTGGCCACTTTTTGGCCCCTAATTCATTATCTGTTGGTACCATAACCCCCAAAATCAATCCCAACCTTCCTTTTGTGGTATTGAACCTTATGGTAAAATTTCATAGAGATCCATTCACTTAAACTAAAGTTAGAGTGCGAAAACCAATGTGTCTTCGGACGACGACAATGACAACAACGTCATACCAATATACGACTGCAAAATTTTTTTGCAGGCGTATAAAAATCTCTGTTAGCCAGTTTGCTACATGAAATTTTTTGGGAGAACAGTGAACACTCCTGATAATTTTCAAACATTCACGTCGAATTTTGCTAAAAACTGTCTTGCCAATTGAAAAGTTCATTTTGCAATTTAACTCATCTCAACAATATGTCAGTGACTGTATAGAAGGAATATTGTCCCAATTCTCTTATTATAAAATTTGTTATGTGATATATGATTGGCAATAATACAACTATTATTATAATAGACCAAAGCACTTAGATGTGAACAATTTCAGGTCACTGTTATAATTAAAGCTTGTAACAATAGGCAAAAAAACCAACACATGCTTTATAGTAAGCTATGATCGTTTCATTGGATAGAACACAACTTAGTGTTTATTTTGTAAAGTTCATGACTAAGGCAAGCACCAATTATAAACATTTATGATAATCATATAATTGGTCTATTTGAAAAAAAATCATATATATCAAAAAAGATTGATAATTTTTGTCTTGCCTCTATGTAGTTGTGAATGCAAGACTTAGGAATGCTGTTTTTGGTGGCGTCGGCTGTGTCCTCAACTTACTTTGTGATTAAATCATCTAAAAGGACCCACTAGTGGTAGGTCAATGAAATCTAGTATGCAGTTGTATCAGTATTGGCACATCTCATTACATGGGGATAATTTTGCCCCGCCCCCTCTGTCATGGTCTTTTGACATGTTAAAGTTTGTGATGATGTCAGTTTATAACATGTATAAGGAATCATTTAAGTCAGTGATATTTGGTATGAAGTTGTATTAGCATTGGCTTATCTTATTTCCACAGTGATTATTTGGCCCTGCACCTTCAGTTATTGTTCATCATGTTCATTAGCTAAGTTAGTAACTTAGTATTGCCATTTTAATTTCAACATTTGCACTTTAATATCAAAATTGCATACAGGCTAGAGACATCTCTGTGTTAACAGTTTATCGAAGATAACTATCCTCTTTTATAATGTTTTTTTTTCCCCAATCATAAATATTTTCCTTCTTGTTGTGGATTAACATTTAATATATGAACTACTTTATTAAAATAAAGATTAAAACTTTGCTAAAACTGGTACATATGAAAGAAAGTCAGCGAGCTGAAAGTGCTTAAGGACTGTTATTTGAAAAAAATTGCTCTTTGACTAAAGGATAAGGCTAACAACATTAAAATATAGTATACTGATGTTATATTAAAGCATGACTGACACAAATTCAGGAAGAAACAGAAAAAACAAAATGTAACTTTCCTACTAAATTTGTATCACTCGTGCTTTGATATAGAAACTTCCATTACTACTGTGGATTCATTAATTTTCGTTGGTACCAATTTTTGTAAATATTTGATTTCATGGTTTTATAAAAGTTTGCATACAAGCCTATAGACAATTTATACTTTGTTAAACATTTAAATTCATCTTTTCCTTCAAAAATTCTTACAAAATCAAAGAAAATAAACAATAATGGAACCACAGTATATAATTTCATATTTTTATGCTGCTCGGCAAAGGGGCATTAGTGTTACCTTGACGTTCCGTCTGTCCATCTTTCCATCTGTATCAAAAGTATTTTCACATATTATAAGCAAGCTTGAGCTGGGGCATTCGTGTCCTCAGGCACATTCTTCTTTTTATTTATCTTAAGTACAAAACATTGAAGGGTAGAAATTAGGAAAAGAAAAAAAATACAGTGGTTGATTTGCAATGGAAGGTGGCTTGAAAATTAAGAAAAACATTTTTTTTTAACTTTACATACAAAATTATAGCACATTTGTGTCTGGACCATCTTTTTTTGAATGGCTTTAATCCAGTTACAAAATGTACTTAAATGTCTGTTATTTGGTCTCTTGTGGAAAGTTGTCTCATTGGCAATCATACATGTACCACATCTTCTTATTTTTATAATCAATGTTATTCTAGATTCTAAAATTATTGATTAAATACATTTGCAGTGTGGATATTGTAAATTGACAGTGTAAAAAAAAAAACTTAAGAGGGTTCCTAGGCATTTATGAGCGAGAGAAAAATGTGCTAAGAATTGCATATAAATAAAACATAGCTGAGAGGTTGATAGAGCATCTTGTTACACGGAGAAAACATTGTTAATGGATACTGAATGTTTTTGTTATTATTGTCTTTAAACTTAATTAAGATTAAAGATCTTTTTCTTTTAAATTTAAATTATTGCCTTTTCCAGTGATTGATTATTGATTGCTCTGCACAAGGAGGTAGCATTAAAACAATTGTTTCTCTGCTAAACCATGTGGAAGATAAGAATGTCGCTGTGTATTAACCAATTGAATCTGGCATTTAAACATAAAGTATAATGAAAATAAATGGCCAATTGAAAATGAGACCAGTTTGAAGAACAATGAAATTTTATTCGGTTCATTATCAAAAATTTTCCTGGTTTTTAAGTAACCAAAGAAATCAGGTTTCCATTTCCATACATCTTTTCTTTTACCATGTTTACATTAAAATGAAACATGCCTCTAATTAGTATTGTCAGTATTTGTCAAATATTTTGCAAAACTACTTTGAATATTTCCCAGTAACCATGGTAACTATTATGTTTTACAATGTACTCATTAGTACTACAAGTTATCTCTTAAGGAGCACTTTAAATATGTTTTAAAACTTGTCAATAAAAATTAAAAAAACTGAACAGTACAAATGTATGTAAGACAGGAATATTACCTCCCAAATACATTATGTGTTACTCAAAGTGATTGATTGTTATCAATCACTTTACAAGGTAATCATTGATCTATAATAAATTAGTTTGCACAAATGTTTCTGTCTGGTACACACATGTATTGTTGAAAATTCTTCACATTTTTTGGCTCACATCCCCTTACAGACCCTCTGAGTTAAAATACTGCACCTGGGTTATAGAAATTAGTAAATTTCAAAGTTACCAGGTGCTCACCTATAAATACCTTTAATTTGTTTCTGTAATAAACATCAGTCAAAATGTTGATTGCCAAACAAGATGGGGTACTGTGGAGGTGAAATTGGTTTTCATATTGTGTTTTGTACAGGGATAAAAAAATGGTTTATTAAGATGAAATGATTGACATAGATATGTCTTCTTAACCACAGATTTTTGTGGTAATGTATTGTTCAGGTATTTTGTTTATATGATTGTGGGTTGATAAGTTTGATCTGGACCAATCCTTTTGAAGTCTGGACACATGACAAATCAAAACAAATTATAAGGCAATCAAAATATGTTAAGGAAGAGAAGTCTAGCCAAATCTGTTACAGAATAATATATCATTTATAACATGATTGTGGGATTCAATACTTTGTTTTTCTTCTCGTCTTTATTTATAAGCCTGTTAAAGATGAGACAACTTATAGATTTTTCATCATTTAGTATAAATTTGTTCAAGTCTTATGATAACTCAAATTGGTATGTAACATTATAACAAAATTTTAACCCATTATTAAATTTAATTAAATTTAAATAGGCTTTATTTTGATGATTGTTTAGCATGCAAGAAAAGTTACAAAGGCCTGACAAACTATCATCTATAGTGGACATCTTAATCATTTAGGTAGTCTGTGGTTTAAGTTTTTCTAGACACCAATCTGGGGGTGGGGGGTGGGGGGGCACTTCAATACTTAATTGATAGGGGGTGCCGCTGGGGTTCTGTTACCCCACCCTTTTCATATTATTTAGATTTTAAAAATGTATTCCTTTTCATATATTGCATAGGTAAAAATGTAACCTTTTCCCATATTGGTTGGGTTTCGTGTGTGGTGTGTTGGAAAAATGGAATATCAAAGTGTCAAAAGAAGGGAAATTTGTGGATAAAAACACAGCCATAACACCAATAAAGTTACAGGGCTTTTCATATAACAAGTAAAGAAAACTTTATTAGCCTTATCATATATTTCTTATAGTTTTCCCCGCCTTTTCACATATTCAAGCTGGAAAATGTGACCTATTCCAGCAGCACGTCCAATCACCTTGTATATAGTGTAACTAAAACAAGGAAATTTTTGGAGCAGCTTTTGAATGTTTATTTCTAGTTTGTCTTAACTATTCATTTCTCATGTGTGTGTGTGTGACTATGTTTTTATGCATATGTATTCAACTAATTTGGTGCACTGTATGGAATTAAGACCACAAAGTTATTTTGAATTATTTTACATTTATTCTTTGTTCGTATTGAAGGTGCTGCAGAAAAAGACCACAACAGAAAAAGTATTATTCAGCAAGGCAATAAAGACGACAATTGTACTGTAGCTTTCATGTCTGACTGTCTGTCATTAAAACGATGTAAAATGTCTTGCCAATCTATGGGAGCATCCCGATACAGATGGTTTCATGAACATGGATGCTGTCAATGTATTGGTACCGCATGTATTAATTATGGTCTTAACAAACCAAAATGTCGCGTTTGTCCAGACGAGGAGGGTGATGATGAGGGAGAGGAGGAGAACGTAAAGGAGGTTGTGAAGGAAGAAAGTATAATAGAAGAACTTGTGGATAAAGAAGCAGTGATAAAACAATTTGAAGGAAAACATGAAGATGACAATGAGGATGAAATTATTGAAGATGAAATAGACGAATTTGATATCAAGCGTGTATAAGATGAACAGATAAATTTGATATCAAGCTTGTATAAGATCTGAAATAGATGATTTTAATATCAGAGGTGTATAAGATCTAAAAAATCTTAAACTATGATTCAACATTCAGTCTTATTAATGTATATTTTGCATAAATCCAAAGACCACTATTTGAAGATAACAATTTTTCATTATGTGATTTGAGGTATTTACATGGACTAGTTAGTTAATGTTAAAATTGACCAGTTGATATTTGTCAATTATATTCCTAATAAGAGTGACGCTGCAAAAAGTTGGCAACTATCAGTGGCAGATCCAGAACTTTTTATAAGGGGGGCCCACTGACTGCCATAAGAGGGGGCCTGCTACAGTCATTCTTCAGTGATTCCCTATATTTAACCAATTTTTTCCCACAAAAAGGGGGGCCGAGGCCCCCCCCCCTCCCCTGGACCTGCCTATGCTATCAAACAAGAAACTTCATGAAATGTACCTTGTAATTACCTGTTTGTCAGGCTGAAGCAGTTGCACTTGTTAATTTGAGTATAATTTTGAATTCCAAGTAAAACGCAGCCAAAAGGTTGTTAGGTATGTTAAGTTTTGCAGTGATTCAGACATTGTATAAAAATACTTACCTTCATTTAAAATGATGTAAGGGATAATTTCAACATAAATTTACTATTAACAAAAAAATCAGACAGCTATGACTAATAATTAAATTTGAATTTTTAATCTGTTTTTGTGTTGAATAAATGAATGTCTGAAACAAAACTATCAAAAATCATAAAATCAGTTTGGTCTTTAGAAAAATTTAAAGGAACAGGGTTCATTTAAAATTTGAAATCAACTATCATGCAATAGTAGTGTTTTATAAGCTTTCTGCCACCCAGTGTAAAACCCCCTATTATTGGAGGTATACGTACAGTGTATGTATCAAATCTATAGACAAGCACATCTTTTTACGTCACTTTTAGGCTTGTTTTAGACAAAGCTATCTGAGGGGCTCTTGCATACATATTTGTAAGGAGGATCGGGTCAAGTGATTGATTTCGCATTAAGTTATTAGTATAAGTGAAAAATTATTTTAGGGGAGGGTGTCAGATAAAGGGTCTTCCAGACATGAGGTACTTTATCAAATGCAGGTGTCTGCAATTGTCTCTGAATATGTTAGTCCACAAAGGATTACTGTATGATCAAGTTCTAATTATATAAAACAAATTATGTATTGTAAATATGTTTAAGTGATTGGAATGAAACAAAAGAAAGTTTTGATATAAGTATAATTTCTCAAATATGTTGTTTTTGATAATGTTTTATTAATTGAAAGCAGTAATGGGTATTTAATTGTAATTATTCATGAAAAATCAGCATTGAAATTGTCAAGTATGAAGAATGTAATTTTATTTTGTGTACTTGCTATAATGGTTAAAAGGCAGTGATTGATAGTAACATATGACTATATAATATACATGGTGCAGTTTCTTTGTGATGTCTGGTTGCTGTTTTGTTTACTTTTGTTTTTTATACAACAGCAAAAAATTTTTGGGATCGTATAATGGTATGATGTCGTCGTTGTCTGCATTGTCGTTCGAAGACACATTAGTTTCCGGACAATAACTTTAATTTAAGTGAATGGATCTCTATGAAATTTTTAAAGAAGGTTCATTATTACAAAAGGAAGGTTGGGATTGATTTTGGGAATGATGGTCCTAACCGTTTAGGAATTAGGGGCCCAAAAAGGGGCCCAAAACAAGCATTTTTCTAGTTTCAGGATATCTTGTGTATAAGTATTTCGATTACTCTGAAATTGTACCACAATGTTTAATACCACAAGTAGAAGGTTGGGATTCATTTAGGGGATATGGGCCCAACAGTCTAGGAATTAAGAGCCAAAAAGGGGCCAAAAACAAGCATTTTTCTAGTTTCCAGACAATAACTTGTGTGTAAGTGTATGGATCTCTCTGACATTGTACCACAAGGTTCCATATAACAAAGGGAAGGCTGGGATTGAGTTTGGGGTTATTGCTCCAAGGGGGGTTTCAAAAAGTTGGGGGGGGGGATTTTTTTAAGGGATTCATATTTTCTTTCAAAATTTTTAAAATTTCGAATTTTGAAAAGTTTCAAGAAGAAATCTTCAATTGCACAGTATTGCGCAATGGATTTATAAGATCTTTGACCACATTTATTTTGTGTCAGAAACCTATTCTATGTCAAAAATTTTATCACAATCCAAATTCAAACAGTATCAAGCTTGAATATTGTGTCCAAATTTGCCCCAACTGTTCAGGGTTCGACCTCTGCGGTCGTATCAGGTTGCGCTCAGCGAAGCATTTTATTTACATATCTTATAACATTAAGACTATGATTTACTGTAAATTGAAAGTGAAACAAATTATTTTGAACTACTATTATACCTTAGCATATACAGTTAAAGAGGCATTAGCTACCAATTAGGCAACAAATTATAATATGATTTTTTTTCTTCAAATATTTATAAAAGCTGAAAATAGGAATAATATTTCACTATTAGCAGTCAGTTTGATTTAATTTGGTCAAAATAAGTTCGAAACCATAGCTGATAACTCATTGGCCTTCAAGTCAATAATTCAACCTCATTTGAATCCATATTCATGCAACTTTTAATTTGACCTTTAGTGGAGATCGGTTGCACATGTGGTCAGCATGTTCATATATTAAAAAGAAAAGTATGTCAACATTGAAAAGTAAAACAAGGGAGACATTATGAATAACCATTTTATTGACCGATCCGACCATAAAAAATCATTCTTATACAGGTAAAACAATTTTTTTTTTATCTTTAACATGAAATCAAACATACAAAGAAAATAGTCATTATATAATGGAATGTACTTGTCTGTCTATTTACATTTACATTTATTTGGGGTTATATGACTTTCTACAGAGGTCATCTCGATGGATAATAAGATGGTGCCTTGTCTATGATACGCTTGAAGTGATTATTCCTTAAAACAAGTCCATGGTAATGGTAGATTGTTTTTGACTTTATATATATATATATATATATATATATATATATATATATATACAAGTCTAAATTGAAATCAACGTTCAAACCTATGATTGCGTTGGATAAAAACCGCAATTTTTATACGTGTGCATGCAAAACAAATTTCTTGGTAGAGGGGTCTAAATACAGCACAAACAACATTTTCCAAAAGACCAAAAAAGTGAAAAAGTATATTTTAACAAAACGCATTTGACTATATATATGCGTTTTAGTATATCATAAATTGAGTATGAGAATTTTGGTTTAATTGGTGAACATGCATTTGACAGCTAATGCCCCTTTAAGGTACCAAAAAATTTGAATACAGATTTGTTCTGTCAAAACGAGTAAATGATAAATACATGCAGCTGTTATCAGTTTTAAAAGAAATGTTTAAACCACATATAATTGATTTATTGTTTTGTTTTCATTCATGTATTTATAATTTGAATGTTTTATGCATTCACTGTTACAGCTGGTTATTTCTATTTTTATTTTTACTTAAATTTCAACCAATTGTTCTGTTAAGAATTTGTTATGTTATTCACAATAAGTTTTGTTTATAAGTTTCTTTGTGAAAAATTGAATTGTAAATATCTTTTAAAAGGGAACTGTTATAATTGAAGGATTAAAACAGTTGTTAGTTGTATGTGTTAAAGATCTGAATTTTTAAAGGCAGTGCTTTAATGCCTTTCTAGTTGCCGTGTTAATATTTCTTTCCGCGATATCCAACTTATCTACGTGGGGGGTCATTTAGCTCCAAGTAGATCCGGAAAATGTTGATTCTCTCCTCTTCTAATTGTGGTATAAAATGTTTTTTGTCTCATTTCATTTACATTGGGAAATAGAGAAACGATCATTGTGTTTTGTTAGTTTTAAAAACTTTTGATATATTTGTATTTTACATTATAAGCAGTCTACCGATTGACAAACTAGAATTATTTGAATTCCGTGTGGAAAGAGGTCGGGTTAATTTCGAGTGTTATCTGCAATCTAGATGTTTATAAATCATTTCAGTCGTTGATATAATAATTAAAGGTCGACTGAACATGAATTATATTATACAATTTAAGGCGCATTTCTGTTTATGCACGCGAACCCGTCTAACGTTATTGTTATTTCGCAGTTATATAAAGTAGCAAATTATCGTTCCTGAATAGGTGGCGCCGTGGTAGCCGATCCTGTACTTCAACTTCCGGTTTCTGCACTGTGCAACTATTACAGTTGCATTTTTAATTAACGATGCCAAGTACTTCTTGTTGTGTACCTGGATGTCATTTAAGAGGAGGACATGCATTTCCAAATGACTTAAAAAGAAGGAAAAGTTGGATCAACGCCATGGCCCATACGCAGATTGGACGAGAACACGATGAAATCGTGGAGTCCATCTCAATCAGCTGTTGTTTGCAAGGCACATTTTACTGAAAAAGACTACGTGCAGGAAACTATTCATGGTAAAACTCTATTTTCTATTTAAAATATATAGTTATATATGTAATCGCCATGCGAATAAACCAAAGTCAGTTTACAACCGCAATTATCGTTTTAACTTTTAGAATAAAAGGGGGTGGTTAATTCAAGAAAGACGTCATAATTTTTTGGATTACGATTCAATGTGATCTGTTTGAGATTTTTTGGTGCTTGCTACAATTATAATGATTTCTTACAAGAGGTATATCATACTGAGAATTATTTTAGCAGTAATTATGCTTATGTAGTAATGACAGGAATGCATAAGCTATGCCTCATAGACTTTCTTGAAAAATATCAATGACAATGTTAACAGGAACAAAACAATGACATACTCTCATCTATATTATAGTTATTTAGGTACAAACAATGTATGTTTGTTGCATACGTCTCTCATTGTTTGTCCTTTGGATTTACATAACATACATTTTGATGTACATTGAATCAGGCTAACATAGTTTTATCCAGATTGTAATGAATAAATCTAGTTAATATTTTGCCAGGTTACGAGTACAAAGGAATTATAGTTATCTCGTACCATTGTAACTCGTACCAATGTCAACTCGTACCACTAAACAAAAACTCGTTCCAATGCAAACTCGTACCACTGCTAACTCGTACCACGGTAAATTCATACCATTGTAAACTCGTACCAACTTATTTAAATGCATTCAAATGGTGTTTAATGATGAATATATACTTTAATTTCACTCAATACCTCTTAAGTCTGTAAAATGTATATAATTTGAAATTCCAATAACCAATTTGTAGCTAATTTTCCTTGTCTAATTGGATAGAGAAAACCGTGGCAGATTGGCTTTGTTGTCTCCCTTGAATAGACTCTTTTTTAAACTTTTGCTGACAACTATTTGATTTAATTTTTAATCATTCCAAATCAGTAACATTGAATAGATTTGGGTATTTTTCTAT